TTGAACCGCCAGCCTTCTGGTTAGCAGTCAAATGCTTTAGGCACTATGCCACCAGAGTTCTCAAATATTACTTACACAAATAAAAAAGTTCTCATTCATTACTTTAAAATTATAAACAGCTAGAAGAAAATAATGAAGTACAGCAGTAATTTTGCAGGAACCTTTAACAATGTCTTAGTAAAAGAAGAAAAGGTTGCTTTGGTGGGGTTCTTATTGTAGATCAAGTATAAACAAAGTAAGATTTTAAAAATTACTAGGTACTGGGCAGTTAGCTTTAGAAAGGAATGAATTATTTTGCCAGTTCTGTTCCTAACACAAGAATCCCTCAAGTCTTGTTACCAAATTGTACATTTGAAAAGTAAGGCATTTAAAGTAGAAAAAGTCAGCAGTTACAAAGAGTTATAAAAAAATTCCCGCACATGACTGGTTTTATAATCTTTCCTATTACTTCTTAAACTCATTTCCACTTACCCAGTGGCACACTTCTTATATTCATTGCCAGAAAACCCACAATTGCCAAATCTGTCACCTTTAGAATTCACATCAATGAAACAATCTCTTGGGGCAGCCTTGGCTTCTGTAACATTAAAAATAAAAAAATAATAATAAATTATGGCAATTTAATTCAGAAATAAAAGTATGTGCTATGAACACTAAAGAATAATGTAGAATCTGCAAAATACCACATAACATGGATGCACTTGGAGGACATTATGCTGAGTGAAATAAATCAATCACAGAAAGACAAATATTGTATTAGTCCATCATTGTAAAAGTCAAGGAATGGTTTGTATATGGAAGAATATTTTCTTTGTTGGTTACCAGGGGTGGAGTGGGAGGGGAGGGAACACTGTCAGATAGGTAGAGATAAGTATTGATTTGGGTGAAGAGAAGGGCAATGTACCAAATGTGAGTGATCAACATGGTGGCACTGAGGAAGAGGAAGACATAGAGAGGTATATGGGAGGTGCAGACAACAAAGATGAACCCTTCTGCACATACAGTACTGTGTTGTCAGTGAAGACAAACACAGGTATGTAGGTGGATAGAGGGGTGGGCAGGCTGAACTATTATGTATGTGCACTGTAGTAAATTACTTTGTGTGGCTTTTCTACCCATAAGTCTTTGTAAACTCCAAGGTGGGATTTGCTATGAGCAACTGAGGAGCTCCTGATTGCTGAAGTTGTCCACCTGGAGTATTTCTGTTGGGAGTGGCACAAAACAATGTTCTGGGAGGTGCCCACTTTCTCTCAGGTGCTTAGAATTCTGA